GCAACACAAATCACACTTAAAACTCTAAAATCTATCCTGAGGCTGTAGGGGTACAAAAACAGGTGGCTAGCTGGATTTGACCTTTGAGCCATAGTTTGCTTACCACTGGTCTAAACCAACCATCATCTCATTTTCCCTGTGCCTGAGAAAGGTCTAGAAGTGTGATGCCTGGAAGTCACCTCCAGGTGATGGGACAGAAGGGAAAATCTACTGCCAGTACTGTGGCATGGAATTTTCTCCCTGAAGGCAGAGAAGTGATTGAGGGAATGAAGCCCCTGTCTCATTTTCCCACCTTCCTACCACAGAGGTTGATGGTCTGATACTGGAGATGGGTGGGTATGATGCTGGAGACTAAAGTGACATCTTTTGATGACAGTGGGAGACAAAACACAAACAGCCAGTCTGTGCCCTAGGTGACAAAAAGTGTTGCATATTTGTATGAAAAACTTGAATTTAGATCTTGTTGTTACTGGATAATCTACAAATTGCAACTAAACGAACTGTAATGACATTTTCTCCAACACTAAATACCAGAGGGTAGCACTAGCTGGAGCAATAGTATTATACATATTTAATAATATTAAAGACTGAGAAAATGTTGTGACAGCATTAAGTAAAGTAGATCTTCTACCAAAGCACTAACATCTCCAAGTTAAAATGTTGATTTGAGAGGGGTCAACAGGTCTCTCAATGCAAACAACCACCCAGCTGAAGGTGGGCTTGATACCATATCCCTGCAGGAGGAGGTTGGACTCCAGAGAGCCCGATGGTGCCATCCAGGAGATATGCATATTGTGCAGGAACATCTCCCCAAACTGTGCCTGGACAATGGTCCAGCTGGTGAATCAGCACCAGGCAAAAAACCAGCAAGGAAGTCAGTGTCAAAAAAGGAGGACTCAGAGATTTGAATAGTTGGTACCTCGATTCTGAGGGGGAAGAAATTGTGCTGAATCTAGCTCAAATCACAGCCACCCCATTTTAGACAATCTTCAAGAATGTGTACCAGGGCTCAACCAGAGCTCCTACTTCCTATAGAGCAGAAAGGAAAGTAAGTATTTCCAAATCAGCTAAATTCCCAACAAGTATCTTGCTGTGTCTTTCAGGCCTCCTACTGCTTGCTCATACAGCCTCCTCTTCCTCATGCCTCCTTTTCTAACCAGCAGTAATCGTCCATCATGCACTGGACATAGTGCTAATAATGGCTAAAAAACCAAAATGGCCAAAAACCACATGGTCTTTGGCATGCCAGCTGCCAGCCCAATGGAAATGCCATGTATGCCATATCACATTCCTCAATATCCACCCTCATGCTAGATGGTAAGCTTGGGGAAGGCAAGGAAACTGCTTGCTGCTATAGTTTGAATGTTGTGCTTTGTGCCAGAAAAGATGTTAGGGGAGAACTAAAGTTATAGAAGTGCTATCTTTGCTTACTTCCCTTCAGATCATGGACTGCACACAGTTAGGAAAGAAACACATCCTTTCCAGGCTCCTCAGAGCCTGGGACCCACACAACAGGTCTCAGGATGCCCCCTCCATGCCAAATGTGCCCAGAAGTGCAGCCTACTGGTTTACCAGAAGCTACAGCCTATCACTGACAGACCAAAAGCTAAAGCCTACTGGTCTACCAGGAGTTACTGAGCTACTGATCCTGGCATGTTTTAGATTTTTTGTTGTTGTTGCTGTTGTTGCTTTGGAGCTTCACATTTCTGGCTGGCAATGCTTATTCAAGGCCTATATCTTCCTGGAGTTTTCCTTTTTCCATCAGGCCTCAGTTTCATTTCTTTGAAGAACCCAAGTATGATACCAACGTAAGCTCATGAAACTCAGCAGTACATATGTATAATTTTAAATAAGAGCTTCACAAAACACAATTAAAGAAATGTTAACTCCTAGCCCAGGAATATTTAAAACATATTGTGATGGTCACCTCAAGAAATAGCTCTGTAAGTTTAGTGCCACAGCTATGTCATAGAAAACCCACCTTAGGCACTTACCCTAACGTATCTGCAAAACCCACATTAGCCACCCACTGTGGCTAATGGAACCCAAGAAGGAATCTAGGCAAGGCTAACGCTAGCAAAGAAATCCTATTCTGGCCTAATTTATGAATCTTAAATCCAATTCTACAAACTTGGAGCCAGGCAAAATGGTGTGTGTTGTAATCCCAGAATACTAGGAAGCTGTGGGAGGAAGATCACAATAGCTGGCCGGTGAGATAGCTCAGCGGTCGAAAGCACCTGCTTAGACAAGCCTAGGCAAGTGCAGGAACCTAGGTTCGATCCCTGGCACCATATGCTTTACCAGTGGGCTGAGCTGGCTGGCTACAGACAGACAGACAGACAGACAGACAGACACACACACACACACACACACACACACACACACAATAGACCACAACAGCAAACCTAGAGATAGCAGTTTAGCAATTTAGCAAGACCTCTCTCAAAATAAAAAAGCGCTGGAGATGTAGCTAAGGGCAAAGGCCCTGGATATAATCTCTGGTACCAAGAAAAAAAAAAAAAAAACTACCTCAAAAGATCAGCAGCATACAGAATTTGTGTTTGTTTCATTAAGGTCTTTTGTTCTTGTTTCTTTGTTTTTAGAGAGCATGGTGAATGGGTTCAGAAGACAGTGAGATGCCTAAAATGACATTTAAGAGACCCTCAGAAGTTAGCCACGCTCATTGCTTGGCAATCTATTTACTGCCTTTTGAGGATCAAAATCTTTTGATCCTGGTATCTGAGCATCAAGTCAACCAGCAAGTACACTTCAAGGATGTCATGCCCCTTGGCAGACTGCAAACTACTTCCCAGTAGTAGTATCTGAGACAACAAGCTTTCATTAACTTTCCTAACACTCTCTTTCTCAGAGGATGGAGTTAAGTGTCTAGAGGGATTTCCCCTTAAAAAATTCTATACATTCTACACAGTGGAATGGGAAGGGAACAGTTCATGCAGAAGCAATGGAAGCTTTTGTGAGTCAAGCAGAAGCAGCAGTAGGTACCAGCAGTTACACTGTGTGTACTTAGGGCAGGCACCATTCCTGGTACTCTACAGAACCTATTCTTGAATCCTCCCAGGAACCTTAAGGGTAGGTACTATGACTGTGCCAGTTTAATAATTGAGACAATAAAGGTACAGAAAGGTTAAGCAATTTGCTTCAGGTCACACAGCAAGATAGTAAAGATCCAGAATTTGATCCCAGCCCTATTGACTCTTACATAAATATTCTGGATCAATGTGCTATACTACACACAGGTGGCTAGCCAACCCCTCATTCCTTCACTACAGTGCAGTGCACACTGGAGATATAATGGTAAACTTCATGCAGGTCAAGTAAGAGACAAAGCACACAGAGGACCCCAGGATGGCTGAAGCCCACACTTAATTGTGGATACACAGCAAATGACCAGGCCAGAACAGGGACAGGGGCAAGAAGGATGGTACAGTGCTTGCAAATTTCAAAGCAGGAAAGAATTCAGTTCCATGGCTCCCTGATGAAACAGAAAGAAGTACTTTGCTATGGCTGGCATGGCAGCACCATGGTGACAAGGAGTGGCGACCCCCAGCAATGTCAAGGGAAGGCTGGAGAAATAGAAGGCAGGAATAACAAAGCAAAAAGTTGTGCCTGGCTCCAAACTGTGGGTTTACCTGAAGGTGCACCAACCAACTGAAGAACTGTTCACTAAGAGACAAAGTGACCAGATCTATTTCCTGCCTCACTAGTTATTTCCAATGGACTTGATGGAGGAGGACCCAGAGATTTGAGTTGTCACTGCACCTCATAGTGTCATAGAAGGTCCTCTGCACAAGTCATGATGTTATTTGACTCTGTCAATGGGAAATTTCTTCAACCAACCAGATTTGGAACCAGCCAGCAGAATGCAGTGGAGTTCTTCCCAGGACCTCTAAAGGGACGGTATCCTCAGGGGATTTCCTGATATGTCACTGTACACTGTCCCAAGCTCTTAAAAATTCTAAGAATAGCCACTTTCTTTTCACCCGAAGTCCCTGGCCACCCAGACATTTCTTAAAATTCTAAAGGTAATTACTCTGCAAGCTTTTTTTTTCCTTCACTTATTAGGATTTCTCCTCATTTCAGCCAAGGAGATTTAGGCCATAACTAGCTTCTATAAACTTGCAAAGATTTTGGAAGGATTATGATTCAATGTGCATTGCACATTCTTGACCTTATTATCTCCACTTCCCCGAGTCTAGGCAAAGGTCTTCAGAAAGGGCTTGCTTTTTTTCTTTGTCTTTAACAAAGCTCTTGGTATGAGAAGGCTGCTGACATTTGTCCGTGTTTTTTGATCCCTTGTAAAACATGTCTACTGAAAACTTCCATTACTGTGTCTCTACAGGCTTGTGCACAAGATAAAACTAATGCTCTCTCTGGACAGAAGCGAGGTTAACCATTGTCACAGACAGCTGATGTTCAAGTCAGCAGTAGCCAGCATTGCCCCAACGTAAAGGTTAAAACTTTCAACAAAGACATGATTTATCCTGTGTCAATAAGCTTCTACTTTCCTCCCAAACGCACATCACCAATTCTAAACCTGGAATGTCTTTAGGTAACTGATACCCTGCCAGCTCTGGCCTTGGGGAATTTGAGTTTCAGGGTAGTTTTCACATTGAACCTATCTACCTTCGTATTTTTCCTCTTCAAGGATTAGTTTCCTTTGGCAAAAACCCTTTGCGTGTGGCTTTGTGTTGTTTCCACTTAGTTCATTCTCCATTTACTTCTGGACCCGTAGGACGAGTCGGGATTTTCAGGACAAAGGACAGTGGAATGCTGGTCACACGGCCGCACTTCCCACCACTCGCACCCCAATCTCCTGCCTTCCAAATTGTTAGGGGTTCCCCTAAAAGTTCTGAAACTTCTTGAAACCCTACCCTCTAGGAGGCAAAAGCACCTGGTGGCAATTAGTGCGGGGGTGGGGCATCCTTTGAGCGTCCCCCTTGGGTCTGAAGGTCCTGAGACCTGGGGGCGGTGACATTTACCTTGACAAAGAGGGTGATGTCATGCTCCTGTGAGGGGTCTCCCTCCTGAGCCACCTGGCCGTCGTCCTCCCTGCGGCCATTCACTGGCTCGGGCTCGTCACCTCCCTGGGCGCTGCTCTCTTCCTCCGTGTGGTTGACAAGCTGGGGTTCGGGATCCTCAGTCCCACTGAGCTCGGCCGCCTCCTCTCCGCGGCTGCTGTCGGGGGGCTGCTCCCCGCCCGCCGGTGCGGCATCCTGGCTGGATTCCGCGGGGCCCGGCTCTCCCTGCCCTTCTTCCTCCTCCCCGACCTCTTCCCGGGGCCCTCCCGGGTCACCGTTCTCGCCAGCGTCTGCCGTCTTGTCCTGCGACCCCTCTGCCCCCGGGGACCCAGGCTCTGCCGCCAAGCCCTCCGCTGCAGCCTGTCTGAGCTCCTCCCGGCCCGGCTCCTCGTTCTCCTCAGACTGGGCCTGGAGGCCGCCCTCCCCTCCGTCCTGGGGCTCATTCTCCACCCCGTGCTCCCCTCCAGCCGGCCCCTCGGCATCCATGCTGTTGCCTTCCGGCCCCTGGGGCTCTACGCTGAACTCTGGCGGCTCCTCCAGCCCGCTCTCTGTTTCCTCTTGCGCCTCCCGGATCGCGGGGTCCTCCTGGTCCCCCCGAATCTCCCCTGCGCGCTTTTCCACCTGCTCCGTGCCGCCCACTTCCTCCCCTGCTGGGGGCACCGCGGTGCCGTCCTGGGTTCCCTCCCCGGTCTCCTCCCAGCCCTCCACAGAGCCCTGCGCTCCCCCCGAGCCTTGCGTCTCGGCCCCCGGGTCTGCTCCCTCGCCCGCGCTCCCCCGGTCCCGCCCGCAACCGCCTTCCTCCGCCACTTCGCGCGTCTCGTCGCCACCGGGTACCGCTGCGGTGCCCTCGCCAACCTCGCTTCCCTCCGCCTTGGAGGCCACTGCCAGAGTCTCTGGGTCCTCGGGCTGCGCCTGGGCACCCGGAGCGCCCCCCTCCGGCTCCACGGCCTCAGCCATGGCTCTGGATCCCTGTCCTTGACCAGAGCCCCCTCCTCGAGTGCGTTTACCGGCACCCGCGAGCGCGAGGGGCAAGGGGGCAGGGCTGCCGCGCCTCCTCCGCGGTGTCGCCCACTCTGGGCTCTAGCGAAAAGGTTTCTCGCAGAGCTAAATCCGCTCGGCTCAGGCTTAAGGTGTTTGGGCACCTCCTCCCGGTCTCGTGCTTCTTCCCGATTCCCACCTGGAACGCAGTCTTTGAGGGCAGGCCCAGGAGGTGCAGGGCCCGGCTGGAGAAGGCAGCGATCTTCCGCGCCTATGAAGTGCTCGGCCTGCTAACAGCTGTGTAGAGTTGACCAGAAGTCCTTGGGGCCAACTCACTGCCCTGGGGTTTGGGCGGGGTTTGTTCACTTTCCTGCCCCAGTGTTTGGGTGGCCTGGGAGCCTGGCCAATTGTAGGCTTTCTGTGGCCCTCGCGGATTTTCATAAAAAGAGCCTGGTTCTGCTGGCAGCTTGGTTGTTTGGAACAGGTTCAACTTTTAGAGTCGTCTACACACAACCCCGCACTCAAAAGCACCTAATTCCCACCTTATCCCCAAAGTGAAACATTAAGCTCCACACCTGACTCCACATGCCTGAGTTTGAACCTCATGACCAACTGCAAGGGTATAAATCCTTGGAGCAGGGAGGTGAGGTCTGTGGCCTTGTATTTCTACAGGACCGTCCCGACAGATTCCAGAGGTCTGAACATAGAAGCAAAAGGAGCCAAATGGGCTTTTCTAACACAGAAGGGCTCTGCTCTGCATGAGGGCTTGCCCTTCCAAGCAGGAGTCCTGTCCTGGGAGATGGTTATATCCTTCACCTCCCTAGGCCCTGAAAATGCTAGGAGTTGCTTATTTTGCTTATCCTGTGGACTTGCCTGGATTTTATGAAACACCCCTCCCTTTTTATTTTTTGGTACAGGGTCTCAGCAGTTCAGACTCGTAGTAATCCTCCTGTTTTCAACCTCCCCAGTAGCTGGGATTTTTTTTTTTTTTTTTAAATTTTTAAATTAATTTTATTTTACTTTATCTTTTTAATTTTTTTATTAATTTTAATGAGAAAGAAATAACAATGAGACAGTTCCAACACAGGTTAATAGTAGTTACAATAGTTAATACATTGCATATTGTTGTCTTTGCAGTAGTTAATCACAGTACAAGATGCAGACACGATCTCTTGTCTAAACACTATTAGTATGAATCTTCTCATTGAACTAAGAGAAAGTAGCTGTATATCTATCCTACTTTATATATATATATATATATTTTTTTTTTCACTACAAAATAGTCCTTCATTTATTTGTCCCTTTTTTGTTTTGTTTTGTCAGAGATGGGTGCTCCATTGCTGTTAGAGAAGCTGTATTTGGAGAAGTCTTTAAAGGACCCTTTATTTTTATTGTTTATTTTTATTTATTTATTTATTTATTTATTTTTGTGGAACCGGGGATTGAACTCAGGCCCTCATGCTTGCCAAGGAAGCACTTATTCCACTGAGCCATCTTCCCGGCCCCATTTTTTTTTAAAGGACGTTTTCATACTTGACACCAGTTCAAATATTGTAGGTACTTCAATTCAGCAAAATATCCCAATGTGGTCCAATAGTTCATAATAGTTGTGGGTTATCAGCAGAACTGGCAATTGTCAGAAGTTGTTGATTTGAGCCTTTTACAGCTCAGCATATTAATATAGCTTTACTTTTTATACCTTATGTTTCTACTTTTCTGCTGGATGGTTAAGATAAGCAAGACCTATATAACAGAAAAATGTAACTTTTTTATCTGACAAGATTAGTCAAATCCCCTCAGCATTAACCCTGAAACCCTGTATAGCAGTTTGTAGATATTTATTCAGTGTCAGCAGCCATGTGGATGGGTCACAGCCAGTGCCTGACCATTATGCTCTCTGTGAAGGCCTGAAAGAATGTTTTCTCTCTAGGTGACTCTCCTTAGGCACACTCTACATCATTGATCACTTTCCTCTGTGGCCCCATAATCTCCTTGAACAGAAAATTTGGGACACCATTGAGTTACAGAATGTCACAGCACAAGTTCTCATGTCCTGAGTCCTCACTGACCTTGAAGAACTAGAGCCAAAATATTGGCTATCCTTGTAGCCCTTCTTTTTCTCTAACTTTTGGTCTGCCAACTTAAGTTGGGAGAAGCTTCTCTTCCATCCAGAAGAGAAGCTTAACGATATTATTACCCTGTAACATAGGCAGTTGAGCTTAACATCAGTATCTGTCTGAATATCAAACACCTTAGACATAACATGGGACTGGTATTTTCCAACAACCATAGACATTTTGAACCTTAAATCCCTATAGAATGTGAAAAAAAACCACACATTTTTACACAGAAATTTAGAAATCAAACCATATATAACATTGTAGCAGGACAATCCTACGACATTCTTTTTCTTGTCTCTTATTTTCTTTACTACCTTTTTTTTAAAAACAAACATTTACTATAAAGGGTGTACAACAATAATTGATATGATGTTAGAAACAGTACGCATTTAGAAGACAAAAATGATGGGTATTTCAAGCATAGTTTTAGTGTTACACATTGCTATCCTCAGTGCAGTTGCTTAGTTCACATATATCAGCATATAGAGTTGGTCAGGGTGAGAATTCTACCCATTAACTGCTATTTTAAAAAACCTGATGGAGATTCTTAGGACTATTGCCTTAACCATCTTGTTTATATAAATGTCTGGTTCTTGCCCCATCCATATTTCCTTTTTTTTATATACTTTTTTTTCCTTTTCTTTTTTTTTTTTTTTTGTGGAACCGGGGATTGAACTCAGGCCCTTATGCTTGCCAGGCAAGCACTTATTCTACTAAGCTTTCTCCCCTGCACCTCCCTGCCGGCATGGGTCTACAGGGTGTTCAAGGTCTCACTATTAGATCAGACTTATAGTGATCCGCCTGTTTACAGCCTCCCAAGAGCTGGGATTACAGGCACGCACCACCACGTCCAGTCTCAATTGCCATCTCAGCACACCCCAGGGGCGGGGCTGACATGGCAGGCCCAGGGATCAAACCCCCAGCCCCTGTGCCTGCTTGCAGGTGCTTTAATCCACTGAGCTATTTGACCGGCCCTAATTTTTGGCTGGTCCTACCCCTGCCATATTTCCTAACTTTTCTCCTTGCTCTCTCTTCATTGTTTAGTCTTTAAATTTTCAATCTCTATTTAACTGTGTTACACCTTTCAATTTTTATTTCTTCTTTTGATTTCTTACAATAGGGAGACTATACAATATTTATACACACAGGTATGGTTTATTTCACTTATGAGTATATCTTCAAGTTGCATCCACTTATATATGAAGGCTTCAAGTTTATTGTTCTTCATAGCTGAATAATACTCCATTGTATAAAAGCAGCACATATTTTTCATCCATTCCTCGGGTGATGGGCATTTTGGTTGTTTCCAAGATTTGGCTATCACGAATTGTGCTGCTATAAACATAGGTACACATATATCACTATGACATGATGTTTTCAGTTCTTTTGCCCAGTAGCGAGGATTACAGGAATGCACCACCATGCCCGGACTCCATCACTGGCTCAGGGGCAGGGCTGACATGCCATGTGGTACTGGGGATCGAACCCCAGTCCCTGCACTTACCTAAGCAGGTGCTTTGTCTGCTGAGCTATCTTGCTTTTCCTTTTATGAACTCTTGACCAGTACTTCAGTCTTAATCATTAAAGGACCAAGGAACTGAAAGTAAGGAAAGAAAATCAATGATGTAAAAGAAGATGTAATGGAATTCATGGGACTGGGAATCTCCCCGAATCACAGGCAGCACACCATCTCATTCAGAAGGAAGGTTATGCTTTAAAGAACACCAATTCTTCTGAAACTGTTCCGAAGGATTTAAAGGGAAGGAATCCTTTTAAACCCAGTCTAAGGTCAGTATTACCCTCTTATGAAAGATAAGTCACACAGAAAGAAGAATGAAAGAAAGAATTATAGACCAATATCTCTGATGAACACATATATAAAAATTCTCAATAAAACCCAGGTTGAATTTAACAGCACATCAGGAACACTAAAGCTAGTTTCCTCTCAGGGATCCAAGAAGGGTTCAACACATACAAATCAATAAATGTAATACACCACATCAACAAAATGAAAAATTTAAAATGCATGATCTTAAAAAATGCAGACAAAAAGTCTTGTTAAATTTGACAACTTTTCATGATAAAAGTGTTGAACAAATTAGGTAGAGACAGATCATATGACAAAGTTATAAAAGTTACATTTGAGAAGCATCACCAACATCATACTGAATGGAAGAAAACTGAAAGCATTTGCTCTAAAATCGGGACTAACCAGCTTGTCCATTCTTGCCTTCTATTCAGCATAGTACCAGAGTCTCAGTGGAAGCAATTAGACTAAAAGAAATAAATCAGCATACAAATAGGAAGCGGGAAAGTCCAATAACCTATGTTTAGTAATGCTATGATTCTATATATAAGAAAACTAAATAATTTACCAACAGACTAATGAAACTGATAAATTTGCTAAGATAGCAGATAGAAAAAAACATACAGGGGCCAGCTAGATAGCTCAGTGGTCTAAAGCACCCGCTTAGGCAAGTGCTCAGGGACTGAAGTTCGATCCCTGGCACATATGCTGCACCGGCCCTGTCCACAGGGCTGGCTCAGCCAGCCACAAAAAGAAAGAGAGAAAGAGAGAAAGAGAAAGAAAAGAAAAAGAAAAGAACATACAAAATTTAGTAGATCTTCTCTACACCAACAATAAATTTACTGCATAAGAAGTCATAAAAGCAATATCATTCTCAACAGCTACAAAAAATAAAATACCTAACAACAAGCCTATCCACAGAAACCAAAGATTTCTATGGTGAAAATTACACAACAGAGATGAAGGAAAGTGAAGAAGATCCTAGAATATGGAAAAACTTCTCATATTCATAATCAGGAGAACTGATATTGCTAAAATGTCCACACTACCCAAAATAATTGGCAGGGTCAATGCAGTACCTATTAAAACATCACGATATTTTTTCAAAGAACTAGAAAACACAGACTTAAAATTCATATGGAAGCAAAAAAGACTATAAATAAAAACTTCAGCAAAGAGAACAGAGCTGGAAGCATCACAATTTCTGATTTTAAGACAATGATGGAACCAAAGTAACCCAAAGAGTGTGGTACAGTATTAACATTAAAAAAGACACATAGACCAATAGAACACAAGAGATCCCAGAAATAAAACCATGCATACACAACTGCCTGGTTCTTGAAAGAGTACCCAAAAACACATGCTGGAAGAAGGACAACTTCCTCAACAAGTGATGCTGGTGAAAGTGATGTCCACATGCAGAAGACTGAAAAGACCCCTACCTCTCACCCTGTAC